AGGGCCCTTGTTTTGGTTGGGGGGGGGGGGGGGGGGGGAGGTACGAGAAAATGTTGTCTAGCAAGGTATCGAACCATCACAATCCTTGTGAAATCATGTACGGAACTGGAGTGTACATAGCGCTGCACGAGTTAACACGATGTAGAACATGACTGATACTACCGCGGGGGGGTGGGTTTGGTGCTCAACTTCAAGAAGGCGTTTGCGTGTGGTTTTGATGCTTGTAGGAGGGAGGGTTTTGTGGCTCCTGTAGAGACTAAGCAGCCGTTCTACACAGAAAAAGGGATATGAGACATGTCGTCGTACGTGGCCACAAGAGGCTCGGATACGTCTCCATCAACACCAAACACATCACCGGACAGGGATATGCATTGCTTGCCAAAACACCCCTCCCAAACCTTTTCAGGAGGAATGCGCTGCATCGTTCGGACCATCACCAAAGGGTGTCACTTCTTGCTGCGCAAGAGCAGCCGGCGGCGGCGAAAGCCGCCCCCACTCCCTCATCGGGCAAGACTTCACACACCAAACAAGCAACACTAACGTTTCGCGCTGGTTCTCACCTTCCCCTGAAGTCGCACAGGTCCATCTCCAGCTCTCCCCCCGTGAGCACGACGTACGGCCCCTCCCACCCGCTGAAAGAACACGCCAACGCCCTCATAGAACTCCCGCTGGTCATCTCCACCGCCAGCATGGACGGCGCGTCGTCCACCGAGAAGCTGGCGTTCCAGGCCACCAGCTGCGTGCTCAGGGCGTACACCATGGCCCCCGTGGGAACCTTTCAAGCGTGGGCAGGAAAAAAAAACATGCACACCGATGATCATCAAACAGGAAAAAGGTCCCTCGTGCATGCATTTTGAAGAAATGCTGTTATTCCAAGTCAGGCAGCACACCACTTTGTCTGAAAATTGGAGGACCGTTCGGATGAAAAAATGTGAACATCCCAACGGTCCCAATGTTTCCAAACAGAGCGGCACAAAGAAGAGAGCGGCCGCAGACAATAGAGCTAGGGTTTTGCGATAGGTAGCAGCTGCCACCACAAGATAAGTGGCCAACATCTCGTGAGTCAAACAACACTCAACACTCAACACTCAGTCGGTCCTTTCCGGTACTTCTAGAGCGCAAACAGTACGCAGCATTTGGCACGAGTCAAGTCAGTGGCCAACATCTTGGCACCAGCCTTTGGTATTTCCAGAGCGCAAACATTACGCAGCACTTGGCACGAGCCAAGCCACTTTCCGGTACTTCTAGAGCGCAAACACTACGCAGCATTTGGCACGAGTCTAGCCAGTGGCCAACATCTTGTGAGTGAAACAACTCTTAACACTCAGTCGGTCCTTTCCGGTAGCGCAAACATCCGCAGCATTTGGCACGAGCCTTTGGTTTTTCCAGAGCGCACATATTACGCAGCATTTGGCACGACCCAAGCCAACCCCTCGTCCCACCTCATCGTTAGCCAGCACCGATCCCTCGCTGAGCGTCACGAACGAATGTGACGCGTACACGGACGCTCCGAGAGAGGCGGAGTTGCCGAAGGACTCGCAGCCCTCGAAGGACAGCACCGACTCCCGAGTCACGTACACGGCGCCCCCGCGCTCACCCGCGTGGTTGCCCTCGAAGGTTCCGCCGCGGCAGTCTAGAGCGGAGGAGGCGTTGGCGGCGTTGAGGTTGTCGTTGTCGGTGCCGGAGGAGGCATCCAGGGCAACGCCACCGCCGTCGAAATCCGCTGGGCAACAACGGCAACAACAGCAGAGAGTGGTGATATGGGGATTCAATTAGTCGGGGGGGGGGGCGGGGGGGGGGGGAGGACAACTTAACGCTGCGGAAACAAGGTAACGGACCCAAAACATATCATGTCGTAATTTAAAAGAAATTCCACCCATGGGTATGCTACCTCTATCGGGTACCACCCCCTTGAAAAGGAAGCCCTGTCGGGAAATGCCCGGTGGCAAAAAACACCCCTTTCTAA